CGGACCAGACAGGACCGCTTCTTGTTTTAACCACACGGCCTCACTGATTCTCCATAGACTGCACTTTATTACAATGACGGCCTGGCAAAAAGCAAAAGGACTTTAGGATGACAGTTGTCACGCGCCTTTGTCTTCTGTTGAGCTGCTGGACTCTCATTTACCTACATCCCGTCCTCGGTTCATTGAGCCGGACCAGAGCGACCGAGCACCACCACCACCGGCTCGGACAGGCAGCACAGCGCGCAGCAGGGGAGCAAGCCCACGGAGGAATCGGTGGGTTCACACTAGCAGCAGGCAGACAACCGGTGACCCGTACCGGGAAGTGGAACCCCTCACCGGCGAGTCCGTCGAGGATCCGCGCAGGTCCGCCGTTAATCAAGGGCGACACGACTGTTGTTAAAAGCACGAAAAGCAAAGTTAGTGCGGTGACATCTGCGCCACCATCCCAGCGACTACCCGGCAGGGCCGCGCTGGTGAACCGGGCACAGCTGGACAGAACATTTGGCTTGGGGCGCAAAGAGGCTGTGCGATCCTGGCTGCCCGCCGGGGATGCTCCCGTCAAAGCGCACGCTCCCGTGGCTTTTAGCGCACATGCAGCTGGCAAAGGAGTCATGCCTGCGGACGACGGAGGCAGACGCGGTGGCTCACCTGGAAGAAATCTAGAGAAAGTTGACTCCAGTGCAGCTGGTGCAGCTGCTCCTGTGCGCACCGGAACTCTCCCAAAAGCCACCGGTGTGCAAAAACAGCAGCAGAGAGCGGCTCCGGTGGCGCAGGGGGGAGCCAGCTACAAGACCCCGAAACTGAGCGACCGGGAGGCGCATCACAAGCAGCCACTGGTGATTCCTCACGACTACATGCTGTCGCTGTACTGGTCTCTCTCCACCGGGGACCTAAACACCAGCGCTCTGCACGAAGCGGGTCTGGCCAACACCATCACCAGCTTCGTGGATAAAGGACAAGGTAAACAACACGCCGTTTTCCCTCGTTCGTGCGTGCTTTCAGCTCCTTTAGTGGAGCTGCAGTCAGTCATCTCCTGCCTCAGTATTAGAGGAAGTCCATGTCTAAGGGCCAATTTTCTCCCCTGACATGTGGCAGCATTACAAACTTACAGTGCAACCGTGAACAGGTTTATCACCTAATAACCGTAGGGTCTCTGCTTTTTCTTGGGTGTGACATCAATTTTGACCTTTGATATTATTTGGAGTATCATTCACTGCAGAGAAGCAGTGGTGCTTTAACTGAGTTATTAGTCAGATAACTGAAGAAAGAGGGGCCACAGCAGGAGCCAGGGCAGAGAGGAGGGCTGCTGCAGGGTCCAGGGAGATGTCTGTGGAGACTGCTGAGACCTGAGCAGGAGGACGGGGGCTGGGGCAGCTCACTGTTGGTGTGGAGAGGATGGGAGATCTGAGAGAGGGAACAGGAGGTCAGTCTGGGGGTTACTGAGGAGGGTGGTGCTGGGAGCAGGGCTGTAAATTGTCTACATGCAGACAAGTCTGTGTTCAGGGTCCATGAGGTAACTGGGGTAGAAGAAGAGACAGCATCTGGAGTGAAGTCAGGAAGGTCAGCTGCTGGTACACAGAGGGAATGATGGGAAAAGAAATGGCTCTGTACCTCATAGCTGTGCTGGAACTGAGTTCAAAGCCACAGGAAGCTGCTGCGAGCTGACGCTGATGAGTGAGCAGTCACATCCAAATGTACTGTAACTGGAGCATGTGTTAAAGGAGCAGTTCACCACTTATTTGCTGACAGTGTTATATTTATATACATATATAAACATAGTGTACAATATGTGTGACTGTGTGTGTTTCGAGCCATCTGGTCAGTCATCGCAGTGCTGCTGCTCTCAGTGATATACGGCCTCAGGAGGGTAAATAAACACAAGTAGGGTGGCCCCCCTGTGCACTGTTATCTTTAGACTGTAAAACTGTTTAAAACAATGTTTAAATGGCCAGAGTTTAATATTTCTGGGTCTGCTAAAGGTTTACATTTCAGGCACTTAATGTACTTTTAATTTGGCCTTTATTTGTTTAGTGAGCCCTCAGCAAATCGCCGGTGACCCCCGCATGTTGACGGGCTGGAACTGATGGCCTGGCACAGCTCGCGCCCCTCGCTTGTTCACATTAGCTCACTTCTCCTTCTCTTTCTGTCGCCCTCTCTTTCTTTCTTCTGTTAATTTTGGCACATGATTTAGATTTTCATTTAGTCAAATTAGTCATTTAGCCACTAAAACTAAAGATATTTTAGTCTCGATTAGACTCTTTTCTTAACATATTGTAATCACTGAGTGAAGTTGTGAGAGTTTACAATATTATACAGCATGATTTAAACATTTGGCATAAGACAAATTACTATGCTACTATAAGGTGAGTTAGCAGCTCCATGCGCTGCACTAGACCCAGGTGATAACAAAGACCATGTCAGTTAACCTCAGTACAGTGTTAACTTCCTCTCAGGCTGAGCTTTGTCCAGCTCCTCCAAAGAGAAGCATGTGCGCATTGTGCATGTTTCTTCTGCAGCAGATGCTGGTTAACAAAGTTTATCAGCAGTGAATAGCTGCAGGTCCATAACAACAGGCCTGTTTACAGTCTGATGTGCTCGCCCTGTCTGGTTCTAATGTACTTTTCAATTCCTGCTAAAGTCCTGGATGGGGGGGGCTCCCTCTGTGTGTTCTTGTACTTGCTACATAATGAGGACCAAAAAGTATTTTTGCTATAGAGTGAGGACATTTTTGGATAGTGAGGACATTCTGGTTGTCCTCACTTAGTGGAACACCTTTTTGAGGGCTAAGACTCGGTTTTAGGGTTCAGGTTAGAACTAGGTTTAGGGTAAAGGGCTAGGGTTAGGCATTATGCTCACGAGTGTCCTCACAAAGATAGAAGTACCAGTGTGTCTGTGTTTTAGCGTCTACCTGTAGAAGCGATATTAGCATGCGTAAAGCATTTCATTAACACATGTGTAAATGTTTTTATTCATTCTGCAGACTGTTTATCTGTTTTCTCTGTCTCAGTTTGTGCAGATCAGGGCTGCTTGCATTAGTGCACAGTATTCAGTTAATTATTTTATCTATGAAATGTCAGAAAACAGCAAAGAATGCTCATTATAATTATCCATGCTGGAACCAGAAAAGCATTTTAAGGAACTGGCTAAAAGGAGCTGAGCTGTAAGGCGAAGCTCTCGATTTACTGGTCAATCTACGTTCCGACTCTCACCTATAGTCATGAACTTTGGGTCATGACTGAAAGGGCAAGATCCCGGATACAGGCGGCCGAAACGAGCTTCCTCTGTAGAGATAGGGTGAGGAGCTCGGTCACCCGGGAGGAGCTCAGAGTAGAACCGCTGCTCCTCCACATCGAGAGGAGCCAGCTGAGGTGGCTCGGGCATCTGTTTCAGATGCCTCCTGGGCGCCTTCCTAGGGAGGTGTTCCGGGCATGTCCCACCGGGAGGAGGCCCCGGGGAAGACCCAGGACACGCTGGAGGGACTATGTCTCTTGGCTGGCCTGGGAACGCCTTGGCATTCCCCCGGAGGAGCTGGAGGAAGTGTCTGGAGAGAGGGAAGTCTGGGCATCTTTGCTTAGACTGCTGCCCCCGCGACCCGGTCCCGGATAAGCGGAGGAAAATGGATGGATGGGTGGATGGATAGCTAAAATGATCCACTCATCATCAAAATAGTTTTCAGTAATGCTGTGTTTAGGGCTGCAACTAAAGACTATTTTAATAATCAGTTAATCAGTCAATGATTTCTACAATTAATTGACTAATTGGATGTATAAAAACAAGCAAACATTTATTTTCTACATTATCAAAACGAAAACATTCACTTAAACGATGCTTTTGCAATGTTTCTATGTGGTGCATTAGGAAACAAAAATGTATTTGTTCAAGAAGAGAGCCTTTCTAAAGTGCACAATAGGTCCAGTGTTAACAAAATGGTAAAATGTTTAGGATTTAAAAGAATTTATATGTTAATAAAACATACCATGCTAATGGTACACGACTACTACTGCTGATGGTTAAAAATATGCACATTTACTCTTAGCTTATGAACTGTGCACCATCCTCATTGACCTGCATGTGCCATCAATGTTCCCACACACACACATTATATATAGTAACTAAGTTTTGCTTATTACCTTTAATATAATGCTTGGCTGTTTACATTTTATTTTGATATGACTGCAACACAAACTCAAATGCATTTAGCACTCGTTATTATCAGCCTATACCGTTATGTTCCTAAGCATCATAATGTATGTAACAAATCAGGTGCCCGATCATTTTAGTTTGATAATTTCTTACATTATTAATTAAAATTAATGACTTATTTGGCTCCAGGCTCCTTTTCTTCTGTAACTCAGTGTCTTTTCTTCAGGTGCTAGCTGCTAATGCAGTAGCATCATGCTCCCCTGCCACGACAGATACGTTTTGCACATTTGGCACCAGTCTTCTTTCTGACTGTAAACTCGTTTGCTCCCAAACTCTAGACAACTTGTTCCCTTTTCTCTGCTGTAACCATGCACGCTGTTATCTACCTCTTCACTGGCCCAGCCATCTCACACAGCTCTGTGACTAGACCCAACTAATCGATAATTAAACTATTTTTATTAGCGATTTTAATTGATTTTGTCAATTAGTGGTTGCAGCCTTAAATGTGATTGTTGCAGCACTGGTGTACATGTATGTTTGTGTCTGTGTGTGTCTGTGCACCTGTGCATGTACAAACCTGCTTTCCTTTCTATCACCTCTGTCATGTTTGCAGCTGCACTTCTTATGTGATGCATGTGTGTCTACAAATGGACTTTTCTGTTTGTGGATTTGCCTTTCGTCAGTGTTTACTGATACTCTGTGTGTCTGCTGCAGATGAGCGTGGACACCAGCTGCGACGGCAGAGGTATCACTTCAACATCAGCTCTCTGGAACGAGACGGGCTCCTGGGGGCCGAGTTACGCATCCTGAGGAAGCGCCTGCCTGACCCCCACAAAGTCTCGATGGGATCCACAGGAGCTGATGGAGGAGGAGAGGGGGGAGGAGCCTCATCCCCGTGCCTGAAGCTGTACACCTGTGGTTCAGGCAAACAAAAGGCCGCCCTGCTCCAGATGAAGATCTTGGAGGATCTGGCCAGAGGATTTGGCAGCAAGTGGGAAGTTTTCGACATATGGAAAGTTTTTAAGGGTTTTAAAAACCAGCAGCACCAGCACTCCCAGCAGCTGTGCTTTGAACTGGAGGCCCTGGAGCACAGAAGTGGTCAGCCCATGGACCTGCGCACTCTGGGGTTTGCCCGAGCTGGCAGGACCAACAAGGAAAAGGCCTTCTTCTTGGTGTTTGGCAAAAGCAAGAAGCGTGACCTTTTCTACAACGAGATCAAAGCACGGTCAGGCCATGACAACAAAACTGTCTACGAATATCTGTTCACCCAGAGACGAATGCGCCGAGCTCCTGCTACAAGGGGGCCTAAAAAACCTCTGCCGCAGTCACAGTCCCTCCCCCAGCACCAGGCAGTGAAGATGAAGGCGCGCTGCAACCGGAAACACCTCCATGTGAACTTCAAGGAGATGGGCTGGGACGACTGGATCATCGCACCGCTGGAGTACGATGCGTATCACTGTGATGGCGCCTGTGACTTCCCCATCCGCTCGCACCTCGAACCGACCAACCATGCCATCATACAGACCCTGATCAACTCCATGGATCCAGGGTCAACGCCACCCACCTGCTGCGTCCCCACAAGACTCACCCCAATAAGCATACTCTACATTGACTCGTCCAATAACGTGGTCTACAAGCAATACGAGGACATGGTGGTGGAGGCGTGTGGCTGCAGGTAACAAAGAACAGTGAGAGAAAAGGAGAAGACAGCCAGTTCCTGCTCCTTACTTTAAGGACAATATTGGGATCAAACCTAAAACTGTGAGATGAGCAGTGAGTTTTTTCGGCTGAGTGTGACCAAACTCACTGCTATGCAGCAGACATTACTCTTCACGCTCAAGTGGACTATCAGACTGCATACCAGAGACTGTTCGACACTGGTAAAGACTAAACAGAGGAAGATAAACTCATGGAGGTGATGCTCTTTAACACCCACTCACTAAAACTTGTTGATGTTAGTGGTGATGAACAAGATGCATCTGAGAGAAGCCAAAAACAACTAGAGGGCAGAGACACGGTGAAACGCTCTGCTCACATTACACTCAAACAGATTTTACTGCCTGTTCTATTTTTTGTTTCTCTTCAGATTTGTAGCTATGTGTCGACTGGTGTAAAAAGTTTTGTGTAACAGAAATGCTATTGAAACATTAGTGACTTATACTCAAAAATGCCCTTTTCAAGCACTTCTCTGCCATTGTGCCTTGTGCCCCTGCACACGTACAGCCATTTGTATGCCTTATCAGAGACGTTTTTTTATCAAGCACGTGAAGAATTTCTGGTGTATAAATACCGACCACTGATGAAGTGGAGATCTGACCTGCTCCAAATGTGGGAAAGTTGCATAAACTACTCTTCAATAAAAAATGTCTAATTGACTGAGCTCCAGACTCCTATCAGTCTGAACCTCTACCCCAGGCTCAATAGACTAAACTATCACAGGAATTTGTAAGAGTTTCAGATGCTAAATCATAGTTTAACCCAAAAAGGACTGTGTTTCATTTGGAACATCAGAGATTTGGGGTTGGTTTAACAAACTGCTGCAAGTTCAGTGATGAAAATGAGTTCACAGGTACTGAGCAGAATTACAACAGAAGAGCATCTGCTGTCTGTTTTCTGTGCAGCCAGACAAGGACACATTAACCTCAGTGACAAATACATACTCCACAGTAAAAACCATCCTGTGTTTCACCAGGTGAATGCTTTTACTGTGAAGCAGCAGGAAACGTTAGCATCAGGGTTAACAGGATTAGCACTGATACCACTTCATGTATTACACACAGACCTACTCTAGAACTATTCAGATTCAGTACTGGTTGTGTATCAGGTAACACCTGGGATGTACTGGGTATTTTCACTGTATGGAAAAGGTACGACTAAGTGTTACCAGGTATTTTAATGTAAGACTGTGAGGAACAAGGTAGTAACAACTTCACGTTTCAGTTGTTTCAAATATCACCTCATTAAATGGCAGTTATCAGTTGGTATCATGCCATAATTATGCTTCTATATGAGCAAACCGTACCTACCGGTAGGCCAAAGGGTGCATATCATTGATGTGTTATAATTACATGACCTCTAGCAGCTGTAATAATTATGACAGGACAACTATCACATTAGTTATTGTTACCATGAGGATGAAGGTGATAATGGCCTACTGAGCCAACTAGTGAAATGGAGTAGGACCCAACTAACCTACATTTATGGTCCCAATGGCAACATATGATGGTCATTTAATGGGGTGATCGCACTGGAAGCGGGCAGCCATTTTAGAGGAAAAGAAATAAATTAAACATCCGTGAAAACTGCAGGGGTCAAAACCTGGGTTCGGGGAAGACTGTGTTAACAGCCTTTTGTTAGTTTGTGATTCAAGAGTAAAAAACAGATAAGAGCTAAGCATCATTAAAAATTTTATTTGTAGCTTTAAGTGTCAGTCCAAAGTGCAAACAGAAATGCTTTCACTAGTGTCTGGTCACTGGTCACAGAGTTTTAAAAAGCTGTTAAGGCTCAGACACCAACAATAAACCATCACAGGCCTGAAGTCATGACCAGACACAGAGCCACCGCCTGATTCGCTGCCAGAACATATTACAGTCTGGTACATAGAAGGAGCACAGGATTTGATCTGTAAAGCCTTACAGCCGACCGCACCTTCATTGCTGCTCTGTAACTCACATGAGCAGCAACACGCTTCTGTCTGCTTTGTACAGACGGCGGTGAACACACCTGTCTGCCTGCCCCTGGTAAGGCTCCTCAACCATTGGAGAAGCCATCTGCACCAAGTGAAGGGATTGTTTCTGTTGGAGAACGAGTGATGGAAACATTTCCTTTAATCAGGCCTGAGGCATGCTAGTGGTGTAGCTCCTCTCCACAAAACCTGGACTGACAGGTGAAGGCGGTGAGAAGCTGAGCAGGACTGGAGTTTAAAAAAAAACAAAACATCAAAGATTTTAGCTACAGACCATGTAAGAAATGTTACAGTTAGGGTGGGTAGATGTAGTAAGACTGACTCTGATGATCGGATCTTGTTAATATCAACACTGTTCAGTTTGTGTTTTAATCCCAGAGAAGCTCATTTGTGCACAGGGCACAAGTTGACTTTGGAACAGTATCGTTGCCACTGTCCAGGAGGTATTGCGTCAGGCAGCAGCCGCAGAGCCACCTTTTTTCTCAGTAACACTTAATAAAAATGGACAAGTTTTGAGTCACACTGATGCTGCTCTTCATGAGATTTAAACTTCAGATTCATATTCTGTTTTTGTTGTGGCTTTGAATTAGATTAAACATGTTTGTCCAAAGGCAGTGATTTATGTCACTTGCGACTGTGTGTTCATAGCATGGACTTACCCTCACTAAGTATGAATGGATGAATAATGACAGAAAATGCTTGTAAACTTGACGGTTTTGGGGAAGGCTAAGGAGGTCCGCACTGCTCTCGGGCACTGGCAGATGCCCCAGAACCTTCTAAGAGATGGAGCAGACTCGGTGAAGTGATTAACATTGGCTGGAACAAACAAGAAGGCTACTGTTGTGCCGTTGAGTCAGCCAGGAGGAAGAAGGAGGAAATAGGTGGAGCTGAAGTGGAGGGTGTCTCTGTCATCTGCTGACACAGGAATCAGAAAGTGGCCATTCAGAACTCCAGGGATATAATGAAAAGTGAGAGGATAGATGGTATCTCAGTACCAGGAAGGGAGAAAAAGAGAAGGTTAAAAAACAGAGAGCAGAAGGAGGCAGCTTGGTGCCTGGAGAAGGAGAGAAGAAGGACCTAAATGAAAGGGAGGAGAGCAGTGATGAGTGGAGAGTCATAGGGAAGAGGCTGGTGGAGTAGAAGAACAAGGGAAGCTGACAAGGCAGCCACAGCCCGCTGAGGAGGACGCGGCCGCTTGCGGCATGGTGAACTTGGAAGGCTCCATGGTGGAGTGGGACTGTCAGCACAAACCCTCCAAAATGTTGGAGAAGATGATCCAGCGACAGAGCAGAAAACAGCTCCCTTTTTGAGGGGCAAACAGACAAACAAAACAAACCACACGGACAGCGGGCGATCTGCCCGATGAAGAGTGGAAGTGGAAGTATAGTGATTTAATGGGTTTAAATAGTGTGAGAATGGAAGAGGCAGTGTTTGGGTCAGGTTCTGCTCCCAAACCTGAGATGATTACTTTATCTCTGTTTAGTGAACAATCAGCTCAGTCTGCTCAGCTGCAGGAACGAACCTGCTCACTCACACTTGACACAGCTGAATTTATGGCAGTTTCAGACAAGAGGAGTCAAAGTGATTTCCCCCGCCTGAGAGCAACTTTTAAAATCCAAGGCCTAATATCCATGTAAGCAAAGTGCGTCTTTGTTTAAAACAGCTTTACTTTGATATTTTTAACATGCTCATAGCACAAAGTACTTTGATTTATCATCACTCTATATACACATACATGTCATGTTGATGTGTGCCTTTTGTACTTTTAAAGGTGAAAATGTCTGGGTGTGTTAAACGGATGGAAACAAACATAAAACCATAGAGAAAAAATAGAACAGATTCATTGTAGAAAGCAAAATGTTCAGGATAAGACGAATTTCTTGTATGCTCAACATACTTGGTAATTAAAGCTGATTCTGATTCTGATATGTGCCCATTAAAATGAAGCTACAGGCAGCAGCTGGTTAGCTTAGCACAAAGACTGCAAACAGGTGGACACAGCTAGCTTGGCTCTGACCAAAGTTCCAACCCACCAGCACCTCTACAGCTCACTAATTAACACCTTATTGCTTGTCTAATCCATACAAAGACCAAAGTGTAAAACAGCAGTGTGGTTTTACCACTGGAATATTTATTGACTTGATGCACAAACCAGACTAACCGTTTCCCCCATTTCTAGTCTTTGTGTGAAGCTAGGCTAACTAGCTACAGGAACAGGCACAAGAGTGGAGTCAAACTTCTGACTTGGGTTTTGGCAAAAGGGGATTATGTGCATTTTCCCAAAGTATTTATTTAACACAGAACTAAGAAACTTCCCATGTTGCAGCTGAAGAAGCAACAGTTCGTGCACACTGCACACACACATCTTTGTGTTTAACCTGTCTCGTCTGTGATGCACGTTATAGAAGAGCAAGAAATCTGAAGATCTGATGCTGTTGAATACTGGCTGTTTAAAACCAGTGAGTGTGTGTCACTACTCACGTGTCCTGTTCGATTTCTTTTTAGCCATTTTCCAAGATCTCAGCAATGAACTCGGTGAGTACAGTATATTACGAATAGGCATGATTAGGAAAACCTGATTAGGTTCAGCTTTTCATGGACAGACTGTTGTGGTCTTAGGACAGAGTTATGCTTTAAGCCTTTGTCACTTTTTCTACAAACACCTTCAAGATGAACTTCAATCATGACTTTCATTTTTTGTACACGACACTCTGTCCAGCGTTGAAATAAAATCAGCATCAACCTCGACGTGGCTCAGCACCACACCCTGGTCGGAGCCAAGTCCTGGTCACAGAAGAAGCTTTTATGAAGGCGAACTGGTTCCACAGATTCAGATTCATCTCTGCTACTGCAGCCATGTAAGCTGATGCAGTGGAGTGTTGTTAAATGGGCTTTGGAAACAGTATTCCCCAGAGCGAGTGCGCCTGGCTTTAATTATCACACTTTTCCACACATTAGCCCATTTGAGATACAGGCGCTGGATTATACCAACAGCTGATTTAAATCTTCACGTATGATTTATGGTGACTAATACGTCCTATGATTTATGACGGTGTAAAAGTCTGTTGGCTCAACAGGATATAAAACATAACTGGGAAATTGACTGCATGGTATGAACGTTTTTCCCGCCTATCATGGGTTTGCTTAAGGAAAAACACAGTGGCTTGGAAGCTGGGCTCCTGTTGGGTGTAACGTTACTGCTCTAGAAAAAAAAACCCTCATGTTGTCAGCTGTACATTTGTCTTAGTTGTCGTTCAACACTGACTCCTTCTAGTAAAGACCTTAAGCACGTACTGTATGCCTTAAGAAACTCATCTGAACAATCAGATTTCTTATTTTCTAAATGAATCCTTATGAGCAGAGTTTCTGATATAATACTGTTACAGCCTTCTATAATAGAGTAACGTATGGAACAAAACAACTTTTTAAAGAGCTTAACTAACTTAAAGTAGCTCTTAGTCTCTAATGACTTGATGACCTCAGTCTAACAAGGCCTCCACATTCAGCACACTTTTCATTTGTGTGTTTGCAAAAATCTTTGGTTTGGTTTAGGCACATGAAACCTGGTTAGGGTTAGAGAAAGACGTGCTCTGGTTTAAGTAACAACCAGGTTTAGAAAGAGTTCAGCTGATG